ACGCTTGAAGAAGGACGACGGGGCGATCTTGGCGTTGTCCGGTTTTTCCGTGGCTTGATTCTTGCAGTCGTCGGCCATGAAATCGAGATGAATACACAGGGATTAGAGGGTTTGCCTTGTCCTGGAATCGGAGATCAGAAAGAGGAAAGCGTAGGCGTGGGTTGGAATAAATTGTAGAAATGGAAAGAAAAAAAATGGTGGAAGGAAGGTGAGCTTTTTTCTTTTTTTGAAAAGTAGATAAGAGAGAGAAAGGCGGTGTCACTGTCTCTGAATGTAACATTATTTATGCCGACTATTGAAAAACACGCGCACACAAACGCGGCTCGGCTCGGCGTGCTTGGGATATAACTTTCAATGTTGTTTTATTTAATTATTTTCACTTTGATCTTACTAATAAATAAAGGAAAAGTTAAATAACAATAAGTTAATTTTTTTAACCACATAAAAGTGCGAAACAAGTTATACCAGAGAGAAAGATAAATGATAAAAGTCCGGAATATTAATTATAGCAAAAACTACCTCCTCCTGCACAATTGAACTCTTCTTATGGACGCAAAAAAAAAAACCCTAATGAGCTCTCCGTTCGCGACGGTCCTGTCGCCGGCCGATTCCCGTTTGGATCCTCCGGACTTGCGCCATAGCGAGTCTCCTCGACCATTTGAGGTATATTCACAGACCCAGAATCTCTTCGGATCATCGAAGAAACGGCGCTCCACCGGCGAATTTGATGAACATCGGGCGGACCCGGTACTGCCGGCTCCTGTACCCCCCTCTCACCCGAACCCACCAAAACTCAGTTTTCGGGATCTATTGACTAAAAACCGGCCCCATGTGACCTTATCTCCATCGGATGAGAGTCTTCCGTCAACTGACAGTATTAAGGTCGTCATGAATGGTCGTTCTGGCCAAATTCTTTTCTCTGACTCTTTTTGGGATCTGCTCCTGCAAGAATGGCAGCATGCCGTGGTGGTGCGCTTACTAGGTCACTCCCTCTCACCCTTGATGATGCATAGGCGGTTGTCTTCTTTATGGCCAGCCATTAGAGATAGCCCAATGATGGATTTGGAAAATGGGTACTACGTTGTTCGGTTCGACACAGCCGAGGATCAACTACGGGCGCTTACTGATGGTCCGTGGGTGGTGACTAACCACTATCTTCATGTTCAGCCATGGACGGTGGACTTCGACGCGGCTGATATCCGTACCCAATCAGTAGTTGCATGGATTCGGTTGCCCAACCTCCCGGTGCAGTTCTACAACACTGAGGTCTTCCGCTCTGTTGGACAATTAGTGGGCAAAGTAGTTAAGATTGACTATCAAACTGCAGAACGCCTTCAGGGAAAATACGCTCGCTTAGCTTGTCTGTTGGATTTATCTCGACCACTTTGCTCTGATTTCGTGATCGGGGGCAGATTTCAACGTGTCGAGTATGAAAGCCTGCCGGACATCTGCTTCACGTGTGGTATGTACGGCCATGGGTCGGCTCTGTGCCCGACACCTCGCGAGGGAAAGGAAGATGGAGAACCTCTAGTCAATAACGTGGGGGATGCCCCTGGCCAGGCTGACAAGCCACAACATCCCACCACCCCTAACCATCAGCCCCCTCAGACGGGACCGGGTCCGTGGATGGTAGCACAAAAGAAAACGCGATAGTATACGAGGAAGCCAAGAATGCAGGATGACATCCCCACTAAACATAACGGAGGGAATATTAAGGCTGGGTCGCGCTTCGCCGTTCTCCATGACGAGGAGGTGGGACATAAGGATTACGGTAACCCAAGTGAGCAAACGGGGGAGTGGACTTTCACGGCCAAAGCTGGAGAGACTGAGAGGGGAGGGGGCCCAAAAGTATGGAAACCTAAGAGGACAGAGAGAAGACCTGAAAAGACAAAACATGCGCCAACGGGAGGGAGCAATGCGCAAGAGGCTGCTGGCATCTCCAGGGTAACCAATGGTGAAGCTAGTGTTCGAGGCGTCGCGGGCCGAAAGCTTGATACTAATCCACGTGAAGTAACCAGTAAGCAGAAAGGGAAAGCGAGTTTACACGATGATTTGATCATGGTTCCTGATACGAGTTCCCTTGATCCGGCGAATCACCGAGCAGTTGCATTTGTCAGTCCATGCTCGTCGGAGCGTGCGATGGCTGTCGACAATCAACCATCCTCTAGTTGTGAACCACCCCTCCAGGAGGAACCCCCTGATCTCTCGGACCATCCGGACTCAGCGCAAATCATGGGATTGGATGGTGAAGATTTGAATATGAGCTTGGGCGGCGATGGCCCATGCCCGCTATGATGGTTCGGGCTCTTTCTCTCCAAGGTTTTCTCCATGAATTATATTGCATGGAATGTTCAGGGAGCAGGCTCTAGTCGTTTCCGTAGAGCTTTCTCGACAATTGTTTCACAACACCAACCTGATGTGGTAGCTTTATTTGAGCCACGAATTAGTGGTACGAATGCTGATACTTTCATTCGTCGATCGGGATTCCCTCGTTCGTTCCGAGTAGAGGCGTCTGGTTTTTCGGGGGGGATATGGGTTCTGTGGAGGGAGAGAGCCGAGGTGACCATCCTTCAATGTCACAGACAGTATGTCCATCTCCATGTCAAGATAGATGATCGAGAGTCTCTTATAACATTCATTTATGCCTCGCCTAACCCGCGTAGCCGACGAGTACTGTGGGAAAGGTTACACGATCTGGCCTCATACATTAGCGCGCCGTGGTTAATCGGTGGGGACTTTAACTGTATCCTGCGACCCTCGGAAAGAGCTGGTGGATCACCTAATGGTGGTACGGCCTGTGGGGTGTTCTCGGACTGGATTTTTGACCACGAGCTTCATGAAGTCAAGACAGACGGCACAAAATTCACATGGCATCGCGGAGACCTATCTCAAAAGTTGGATCGATTTATTTGTAACGAGCTTTGGCTGAACCAGTTCCCGGACGCCTTCGTCCTTCATGCAACTAGGTTACAATCGGACCACAATCCTCTTATTGTTCGGTGCTCCCCGGGCCAACGCGTGGCTCGAGGCCCAAAGCCCTTTCGATTCTTAGCCCCGTGGCTATTACATGACGGCTTCCAGGAAGTAGTTACGAATTGCTGGTCGGAGTCCACGAACTTTATGGAGGCCGCTAAGTTGTTCACTACTACAGCAAGTGATTGGAACTTTCGCGTGTTTGGTAATATATTCAACAAAAAAAAGACCCTTCTCGCTCGGATTGGCGGGATCCAACGAATTCCACACTTCCGTCGAACTTCCAGCTTATCACAGTTGGAGAAAGCCTTGACCACTGAACTCGAAGAAATTCTCCTCCAAGAAGAAGTCCTTATGATCCAAAAATCGAACCGTAATTGGTCCCTTTTTGGAGACCGCAATACCGCCTTCTACCACCGGCATATTAAAGCGAGACGCCGCAAAAATAAAATTGTTGCATTGCAAGATGCCACGAACTCCTTGATCACTGATCCGGAAGAATTGCAACGCATGGCCGTCGATTATTTCAAATCCATCTATACGGCAGACCGGTCGGTTCCTTTGGCTAGATCTGAAGCCTCTGATTTTCCGGATTTAAACCCGCAGGCCCGAGCACTCCTTGATAGGGACGTTTCCGTGGAAGAGATCACGAGAGCCCTCCAGGAAATGGACTCACTCAAAGCGCCGGGTGCCAATGGGCTCAACGCGTTATTTTTTAAGACACAATGGGAAAGAGTTGGACCCTCTGTGTGTCAGATGCTCAAGTCGATATTTCATGGTGGGGTTATGCCGGATGGCCTCAATCAAACCCTCCTCGTCCTCATTCCAAAATGCGATCAACCTCAAATGATTAAACAGTTTCACCCAATAAGTCTCCTGAATGTGGCATACAAGTTACTAACGAAGGTGCTAGCCAATCGGATGAAGCCGCTGCTAGCTGAATTAATCGGCCAGGCCCAATCTAGTTTCATTCCGGGCCGCCAAATACACGATAACATTATTGTGGCCCAAGAACTCATCCATTCGATGAAAACTAAAAAGGGCAGCACGTGTTTCATGGTAGTGAAAGTTGATCTGGAAAAAGCATACGACTTTCTTCGTTGGGACTTTGTAGAGGACACCCTTCTAATGGCGGGTTTTCCTGTACGTTTCGTGAATGTCATAATGCAATGTCTCAATACGGCATCCATGCGGATCCTATGGAATGGAGCCCCGAGTGAATCATTCCTACCGACTCGGGGGGTGCGCCAAGGGGACCCTATATCTCCATACCTTTTTGTCCTCTGTATTGAAAGGCTAGCACATAGAATCCAACGTGCGGTTAGCGAAGGCCAGTGGAAACCCCTGAGCATAGGGCGGGGCCAGGTTCTGGTTCCGTATTTGCTATTCGCCGATGATCTCCTTCTTTTTCTGGAGGCCTCAACCGACCAGGTGCACACTCTTCAGCGGGTCCTAGCCGACTTCAGTCAACAGTCCGGCTTGAAAGTGAGCGAGCCAAAAACTAACATATTTTTTTCGAAGAATGTTCCCATTGAGGAACAGCAAGCTCTCTCGAGCCTAATGGGATTTAATAGAGTGGATGACCTTGGCTATTATTTGGGTGTTCCACTCTTGCATGGCCGAGTCACGGGCCAAACGTACGAGAAGTTGATTGAAAAAACGGACACTCGACTATCAGGGTGGAAAGCGGCTTCGCTATCTATGGCTGGACGTGTGGTTTTGGCGCAAGCCGTTGTTAGCGTACTTCCATACTATACCATGCAATCGACCCATTTGCCTAATTCCATAATCACGGGGATTGAGAAACGGGTAAGACGATTTATTTGGGGAGGCTCCGAGAACAGAAGGAAGGTGAGTCTCGTTAAATGGGAGGAGATTTGCCTACCGAAAGATCTTGGAGGGCTGAGCATCAAACGGCAGAGGTTAATGAACGAGGCGTTGCTCATGAAGCTCGGGTAGAAGTTCCTCACTGACCAAAGTTCATTATGGGCACAAGTCTAGAAGGCCAAGTATGGAATCAATCCCTTTGAGACTAGGCCTGGTCACCAGAAACCAAGCTCGGGAATTTTTTGAGCTGTTCAAAAAATCTGGAAGCAGGTACTTAG